TTCCTTCCTCCTCTCTCTCTCTCTCTCTCTCTCTCTGTCTCTCTCTTTTATTTTCGTTTCTCGATTTCTCCACGGTGCCGCTCGCTTCAACGAAGGTTCTTTTTTTTTTTTTCTTTTTTTTTTTTTTTTTTTTTCTACACACGATCGACGAAGACGAACAACTGCGAATCATTCATATCGATAACGTTTTCTCCTTCGATGCGACCCCCCCCCCCTCTTTTTTTTTGAAACTTCGCTATATATGCCATACGCGTTTTGTCTCTATTATTATTGTTACTTTTTTTCTTTTTTTTTTTTGTACTTTGTATCCTTGTATCCCACTAATAATCCCCCCCCACGAAAGACTTATATTATATTACAATATACCTTTCATTTGTACTCTCGTGTACTACCTTTACCTTTCTTCTCGACTAACCGATCTGTTAGAGATCTATTGTACGAACGATTCACGATTCTCTGTGATATACCTTATTATTACCATGTTACTTATTACTTTTGTTAGCGCCGACAACACTTCAAAATCGCAAACATCAAGTCCTTTTTTTTTTTTTTTTCTTTCTCTTCTTCCTCCGCGAATTTCCTCGCGTGATTAATAATCGTCGCGCGACAAGTCGCCATTTTGATACAGCAATAATTCTATTTTTTTTTTCGCCGAGCGAATGTTGTATATCTGCCTCAACGGACGGGAGAACTGCGATCAGAAAGTTTGAGAATGGCTGGCTTAGAAAAAAAAAAAATATTAATAACAATAATAATAATGAATTTCGAAGAAACAAGCGTAAATCATTTTCTGCGAATCGACGAATATATACCGAACAACACACCGTTTTGTAAAATAAATAGAAAGGAAATAATAGAATTGGAAAAGATTCTGTAATCTCGAATTTCTGTGTCTGAAATAAATGTTTGTTGCCTGAAAAACAAAAAAGGAAACACTTTATTTTCTTGTTCACGTGATAGTCTGTCTCTATTTTTTTCTTTCTTTCTTTTTTTTTTTTTTTTTTCTTACTATTTCTCGTTCGTTGCACCCGTCCGATTATTAAAAACAGTATCTCTCTATCCAACGCGTGTGATTTTTTCCTCCCCCCCTCATTCTTCATGACGAACGAACGGAGGCCTCGACGATGCGAAACGACGAAGCGAAAGAAGATTAAAAGAAAAAAAAAAAAAAAGAGAAAAAAAACCTCGATAAAACCTTGGATAACGATTGTTATTGGATTGCGGCTATTCTCGCGATTCGATTTTGGGGGCTGCTTCATCGTTAACCGCATGAGACTGCGTTCAAAGACCACGAATTTGCATACGCATCCCTTTTTCATCCGTCCATTTCGCTCCTCCGCCCATTCTTTTCCGCCTCGCTCTTTTTTTTTTTTTTTAGTACCCATCGTATAGATTCGTAATTTCATTCACAGTGGGACGTGGATTGATTAAACTTAAACGGGTTTTCGACACCCTTCCTCACCCTTCTTCTAAGTTAACTTCGAATCGTCGGTAATTATTTTTCGAATCGATGGAACATTCTTTTTGGAACAATCGATTTTACAGCTCGAAAAACGTATCGATCTCCGACCTAGTCAAATTTTTCTATCTAAAGAATCGTTGAAAAGGAAAGAATTATTTTGAAAGTTAATCGTCGATAATTTATTCGTTTTTCTTTTTCTTTTTTTTTTTTTGATATCATTTCTCGAATTGATGGAAGAATTTCTTCTTTAGATTTTACAGTTCGAAAAAACGTATAGAGTTCCTCAAATTTTCTATATAAATAAATAAATGGTTGAGAAGGAAAGATTTAGTGATGGATTCGAAGGTAACTCTTTGCCCACGCGTGAAACGAGGGAATTCGAGATTGCTTTGGCTGCAGCGAGAATCGAACAGGGTAGAGAGGTGCTCATCTCATCCTCCCCTCAAATCCGCTGTAAATAGTACAACACATCGGCGGTGACGTGTGAACCGGTGGCCAGGATTGTTGCGCAAGGTGTATCCTTAACCGCCCCCTGGGTGCAACTAACGCCGCATGATATTGATTGCATATTAGCATCGTGTACTACCTTTAGTCAATGCCCGTGGTTACGAATGCCAATTCCAGGATTCCCGATGATCCGCGCAGCAACTTCGAAAACCCACTTAATTCACCGTGTTCCCAATCTGGAATTTCTGCAACTCTATTTAACCCTTTGCCCCTATCGAAACTTTGCCGAGGAATTACACGCGACCACACGCGTATATTCTGCTCGAAGCGGGCATTTTGCAATTACATTTGAAACAGATTCTAAATGGAGAGGAAGGTACGATCGATCGAAAAGTTCGAGAATAGAAGAAGGTAAAGGGTTGAATGGATTATAAATAACGATTCTCGTCGTTAGATGATGGATCACCAGTTATCTACACCAGTGCTGTTCAATGGCTGTTGCCTAGAGAACTTGGCAGAGTATCGATATATATAAAATTTTTTATTCTTTAAAATTAAAAAGAATATTCTTCGGATCAAATCACGAAACAACTCGAAACAGTCTTTTCTTCGAGTCGGTGTTTGAATCTCGATGAAACTAAAATGGAAAAGAAAACCTTCTAAAATAGAATTTGAACAGCTCTGGTCGAATAATTATGCGCGGCCGAATCATTCAATAATGAAAACAATAATTCTCGACGAGCGGAGGAGAATCATCGAAGATTGTCGATCGACAATCGAGCGAGATATATTCGATTCTCGCTTCACCACTCGCCACCACCACCCTCCCCGTTCCATCGCAAGCGCAAATCGTTCCTCATAAACGCTAGCGCGTGTCCAGCGTTTTCTTTTTTTAGCCGAAACGAAACGAAACGAAACGAAAACTCCTTAGCACGCTAGTACGGTAGCTAGCCTGTTTTGTGACATTGCCTTGTGTCTTGTGGTACTAACCTTGTGGCGCTTGACGATGGCGGACGTGCCTGCAGCAGCGGAGGATGTTACAGGTGAGGTGCGCAGCTCGTTGGCACCCTCGAAACCGCAAAGAACAGCCAGCATGAGGGACCAAGCCACCTCGCAGCCGATCCTCAAGAAACACGGATCCTCGACACCGGCCCTTAATCAGGATTACGAGCCCGCTACTGCGCCACCCACGTCCGATTCACTGGTAATGCTATTATTAATGGGCTTTTAACGATTTTTTACCGCAACGACAGGCAAGAATTTAAGGAGCATCTTACGACGTCCAACTTTTTTCTTTTTTTATTAACCGTTCGAAGCATTCTTAAATTACGACGCGGTGTTTTTCTTCTCTCTCTCTCTCTTTCTCTCGCTGTTCTGGATCGTGTCTATTTTGTCGATACATCGAAATGAATTGTCCTCGAGTCTTATTTATGCTGGAATAAAGTGTGCGGAAGGTAGCCGCGAAACGAAACTTCTTTCTTTAGTTATTGGAGGATTCTGAAATTGTGGCACAATGTTTTCTAACTTTTCTCGAGAATGCAATTCGCACGAGGTATGGGAAAACTGCGAAACAGCCATTTCTTGGCTGGCATCAGAGTACTATTATGAAATTCTGGCAGTTTACAACTTCCCTTTTAGAATTGAAATTCTCCGCTATTTCCTCCATAAGGTAAGAAAAATAATAATACGTTTTTTCTCCACGATGTGAAACGATGAAATGTATAGCTACGATATGATAACGCATTACTTGAAAATAGCCATGATCCATTAAGTTGAACAAAACAAGTTGGATAACCCGCTTCGAAGAATAATAAATTTTTTCTTCCAGTATAACTGTTCTAATCTTTTATCAAAAATTACTCCTATTCTTAATGGCGCCCAGACTTAATTTTTCTTGGCTCTTCACATTTTTTCCAGACGTCTAACGACAGTCATGTTTACGAGTGCCTTTCCAGCTCGCCGGAATGCGACTCGAATCTCGAGCTCAGACACGGCGGCGGATCTCATCTCACCTGCAAGAGGAAATCCGACAGCAACGCGATGGAACACGGTGGAGAATTCAAATTTCATCATCAGACGTTCGTCAGATCGACCTCGCTCCCATATTGCGGCAGCGAGACCGAGAGCGAGCTCTACGCCCCGTATGGCTTTTACACCGGCGATGAGGTACGATCTCTTGGTATTTCTCCAACTGGACGTGGGCGGTCACGCGAGATATCGACTTGTTCGGGAAAGTATGCGCCAGTATCCAAGATATTTACATACGCTGCAACGTAAGGCGATCCGATTGCAAAATACTCCCAAAAATTACGTTAATCGATGATTTCCTGGATACTCTAAAAACTTTTCTCCTGTAGAATCTCGTTTGATTTCTAAATCACTCTTTCGCCACAAATTCTCACCTTTTTCCTACGATTTAAAAAGCGAAAAGGCCGCCACGCAAGCTCGGCTCCGATCACGCGGGCCGAATATTGCCGAACAGTGCCGACTGCAGTCGACGATACGTGCCGAACATTGCCGATCCGTTCCGATCGAATAGAGCCCGAAAGAGCGCCAACAAAAGATTTAATACTGCGCTGTTTCTTTCTGTAGAAAGAAACTTAGAGAAAATCTTTATTAAATCGAACCAATGTCCCGCTCACGACTTTTTACTTATTTTTTTATTCTTCGAGCAAAACCTATTTCATAGTCTTTTTCACATAGCGGATCGGTTTCGCAGGTGCTTATAGCGCGGGCCCAGCGATTTTATTACTACGCGCAACTCGATTTCACGGCATTCGAGAAACTTTATTACTCGGTAAAAAGTGTAAAAAGTTTCGCGGCCTGGACTTTTCTTATTTAATAAAGATCCCGGGGAAACAATTTTACTTCGAGATAGTTTTATCGGCCGCGCAACCGCCGCGGAATTTATAATGGGATTTTTAAAATGCAGGGTCCCGAGGAGGATCAGGACTGGAAGAATAAGGACGACGAATTAAGGATAAGCCGATTGAGGCAACGCAGAGGTCGCAGTATAGTCCATCGAAGCCTCGAGGATAATTACGGTGCCGTCGTGGTCGCGAATCACGAAGCTCTCGCGCAATTCCTTGACCAGGTATCCCCCTTCTTTCTCCCCCGTTTCTTTCAACTTATCTCCAGATAGAAGTTTTCGCTTCGGACTCTTCCAAATCCTCGAATAAAATCCGTGATTTCTATTCGAGACTTTTTGATTTTAGAGATTAAGTGGATTGCTCTTATTTATTCGACTACATTCGACACAGCTTATCGAACGAAATCGATTGTGATTAATTCGTTATCGTATGTACTTGTTATTGTTATTCCTCGTTAAAGAGAAAATTCTTACATATTATTTTTTATCGTGGACAATTTACTGCGAGCAATTCGATGATTTTCACGAACATTTCACGTTACAGCTGAACCAAACGCCCCAAGTGCCGGCAGGTTTGCGAGCGTTGAAAAATACGAACCCACGTGTAAGCCACTTCGGCATCGACGCCAATACGTCGATCGCAGTCGGCAGGAGAATATTTTGCTCGGCGACGTGGAACGAGCTGAACGTCACCCTGTGCATCGCCTTCGATCTGGCCACGCACGTGTCGCGCAAGGAATTTTATTTGGCACCTATAATCGAGTTTATAGACAGCCCACCCAAGGAAATTATCGACAACGCTCGTTTACCTACCAACAAGCAACTCGAAGGTACTTCATCGATCTCCCTTTATAAACATTAACAATTCAATTCTTTACCAAATCTATCAAACTATCGCTAGCATTAATTGATTTCCTTCGAGAAATCCGTACGCACGAATCATTCTCCTCAGTTTGCATACATTTTTTTTCTCAAATCTTTCTTGGAAACCTTGAAAAAATTATATCCGATGGAACAAAATCGTCGAAAGTAATTGCGAATATTTCGAACAGCAATGAATCGTTCCCCTTTTTCTTTTTTCTTTAAAAATTGTACGAGTCGATACGAAAGATCCTCGATTCTTTCAGCGACCATTTCGGTTCTGCCACGGCTCCAAGTGAGCACGATACAATTATTCGGTGCGACGAGCAGGGATCCCCACGAGGAAGGAGCGATCAGGGAGGCGTCGTTCGTTCTTCTTCAATTCGTCACCGCGTTGAAGAGCCTTCAGGCGCGAGGAATCGAAGAATCGGCAAGGAGCCTGAACAACGTGGTCCTCTGCAGGGAAGACAAGGACGCCTATTACAGGCTCTACCTTCTTCAAGGGTCTGTAAACGCGAGAACGAGGGAGAGCTTGCTCGAAATTGGTTCGCTCATTGCTCGATAACGTTTGACAGATTGAACGTGGAGACGAACGCGGAGGACAGGGAGGAGGAGAGGGTCTCGCTGTGCCAATGCGCCCTCGTCGCTCTTCAACACCTCAACTTGGCCAGCAAGCTGCCCATGATTCAGGAGTTGCTGATGAGGGAGAAGGCGGTTACCTTGTCTCAGGTAAACTCTCTCAAATCACATTTATCTATTATCTAATATCTCCTTTGCAAATATAGAAACTACATTTACGATTACAATTATTGTTTTATTTGAAAATTTTTCATTTGCAACATCGATTCTTTTTCAATATCGACATATTTCTTTTTAATTCCTTGCATTTGCAAGATCAATTTTTCTCACCGCGAAAAATATTTCCAAAACGAGCGAGTTTCTCCGTCTAAAAATTTCTAAAAATTGAGAAGAATGAAATGAATGGAGCGATTAATCGAGCTATGACGTAGGTGAAATCCGTCCTGGAATTTTCCCTGTGGGGTCCCGCGGACGTGACATTCGGCGGGCCGCGGGAGAGGGAGGTCACCCTCCAAAGGTGGTTGGATCTGGAAAGGGCGAACGTGCTCCACGCGTTGGTGAGGACAAGGGCACCTCTCACAGTCACGGACGAATACCAATTGCTGTTCTTGGTTCGAACCAGCGCCAAGATCATGGGCGAAGCCTCGTTGCTGTTGGACGAGCAACGATCTCGACTGCTTCGCGCTCGTTAATAACCATAACGCGTTTCAATCTCCTCCAATCGATCTCCTCCCGCGTGAAACTCTCGTGCAAAGAATCGGATCCAAGTGGACCAAGTCGAAGTGTTGGGCATAGAACGATTGCACGGATCTACGAGACAATGCTCAATCGAGGCGGGATGCTTGAGAATAATAATAATAATAATAATAATAATAATAATAATAATAATAATAATAATAATAATAATAATCCTTGTCGTCCGATCCCGCCGATCGAGTGTAATCTTATTAATTATTTGTATAAATAAACTATGTTGGCTGGACAATAAACTTCTCTCTGATAATATCGCGGCGCCAATGGAAGAGGATCGTCTCTCTTAAAAAAAGAAGAAATCCAAGCCTCTCCTCCCAAATCCTCTCCTCCACTTTAATTGAATTGCATCAAATGAATTCTTGGATCTCAGAAATTCTGATTCTCAGTTTTTCGCGCACTTTGATTGTTCAGATAGACGATAAAAGTTGGGCGAAAAAATGGCGCCACCAATCACCACGGCCAATTGCGTGCAGTTGGCCCGACATCCCCAGTTCGGGGAACATCCCCGGTTCGCTCGACTCGATCTATCAATGTCGGGGCGCGGAATCCACGCCGAATCATCCGATACAACAAATTCCGGTGTAACAGCACGAGATCGAGCACGTATTATACAGCTAATGCAATAACGACGCATGGCGGTGCATGCAGCCCTCGATAAATCAATAATCGATGCGGATGGCGGCGTACTTTTCGGAATTCGCGATCGTAGAGATTAAAAGTTTGATGACACCGACGGCGAGAAGAAAGAAGAAAGAAGGATTCCTCTCTTTCTTTTCTCCTCTCCTTTCGGATTCGCAGATTTCCCCCTTCTTTTCCGGCCCAACGGGAATCGGGCCATCACACGACGCGTTTCACAAACGAGTTTTTAATTAAACCTTATGAATTTAATGGAACACAAGGCACAAAAGCGACGATGGACGCCGAGAATCTCGTAAACCCGGCCCTTTTTTAATAACACGGCCGAGGGAGGAGGAGGGATTTTTAAGCGAAGCTCGACCGATATCCATTCGAAATATTCGAGGATGCTCGTTGGTTGCCCTCCTCCTTAAAACTTATTTCGATATAAAATTTTCCATGTTATTAAATTCCGGTATATATATATTTCGATGATAAAAGTACGAAAATTTTGAAAATTGCGAATTAACGAGTTTGAAAATTTGTCGATGGACGAAACTTTGGGCACGCGATTTGTAAAAAACGAGTTTAATAAATATGCGTAAATACGTTTTTAGATGTGTCGATCGAAATGGATAAAAATAAATGGAAAAATAAGGGACGAATATTATAAACATTGTTGAGGGAGGGGAAAAAGAGCGAGGGGAAAGGTCTGAACACAAGTAAGAGACGTTCCATTGAATACGTTTCGAATACGGGACAAGTTGACTCGAGTGGTCTCTTCCTACGGAATAAGGGGTTGCTTATTTGTTGGGCCGCTCGAATCCATCTAGGTAATTTTCCCCGCCTAGTGGTATACATCAATTATCGATCAATTATTCTGTTCACATGTATTTTTATTCTTCCGCCACGCTACCAATTCCAATTTCAGGCGTAATTGTCTGTCAAGAATTGTAAGTGTCATATTTTTCGTTTGTCGCCAGGAAAATGTATTGATAAATCGATAATTGATGAACAAGTATTAACCTTTTCTTCCAAACGAAGAAGCTTGTCTTTTTTTCGAAGGGAACAAGGGAAGAGGGGTGAAAAATTGATGAACCACGTTGGTCGACGATGCTCTTAAAGATACCTAAGAGCACCCTGGGCAGAAATTAAATTTAAACCCCGTATTATCGAAATCTGTTTACCCGATGATATTGGGGTGACGTTTAATGCTCACGAAGGGAGATTTTTCTCGCGAAATTGTTGGAACAAAATATCGTCAAATTAATCCAAATTCAGCGAACAACGTTGGCTCGAACAAAAAGTAAAGTGCTTCACTTACTCTCATCGTTTCTTTCTTACTCGAGATTAATGTGTTAACTAGAAATAACTAGAAATTTATTTATCCTGCGAAGAACGCATAGCTGCGGAAGAGGAAGAGGTAAAAAGCAGCGGTTGCGGTTGTAGCGCACAACAGCTCTCAGACGCAACGACGGATACCAGAAAACAATGGCGCGTGCTTTCAACAAGGGAGAAGGGAGGAGAAGCCGAGGAAGGGGGGTGTAGCGCTTAAAATGCTCACTATCGAAATCGTATTTCAACGTTGGATGGCTGCTGTTAACACGTGCACTCCATTAAAACGAGCGTGCAACGTTTCGAGAGATTTTGATTCGTCGAGGCAACAGCGCGGAGGCGGAATTGAGAAATCACGCGATTCGGAAACATCGAGTTGATAGCCTCCTGTCAAATGTTTATTCGCAGCTCCTAGAAGCGACGTTTGTCTTGTAAACTGTTTGAGCAAACGTGGATACGCCGCGTACCGAATGTAAATTGCCAAGGCGGTACGGTTACGTGTGCACGCTTCAACAGCGGAGAATTAAATATAGCAAGATAAAACTACGAGTTTTGCGTGTAATTTATATGTTTCGAAACGATGCAACGTTCCTAACAAAGCAAGGTTCGAGACGTGTAATTTCGTTTAATTAAAACAGCGACGAGATTATTCGTCGATTTCAATCCGACGACAATTTTTAAGCCCAAGTTTAAATTTCCAAGGTTGGACATTTCCAACGATTCGAGAATGAAGAAGCAAGGATGTTCATCCGCGCAAAATGTAACACGCGAACGGCTCGAGTATCCCAACTAATTAGCCGACCCACTTTAGCCAGACCGGCTACTCGAGAGGCAGTTGAAACAAAGTTTTAGTAGCAGTTGACGACGGAAGGAAAAAGAATAACAAAAGGTGGTATTACGCGGGCAGAAGTGGGCATGTTAGGCGGTGAAAACGGATAATTATCCTCGATCTTCGAGCCATTAGATCTCTTCTCCCTTTTTTTTTCGTTCGCGTGGAATGGCGAGCTTCTAAGCTTCCTTTTGAAGGAAAAAGAAAAATGGCGGTAAATGGTTTTCTTTTATTATTATTATTATTATTATTATAATTATTCTCGACATGGACAATCGTTTTCTTTCTCGATTTTATCCTCGAATGGATCGAGCGTCGAGACGAAATTTTTATTTTTCATTCGTTATCGACCAGTTTATCTACCGATGGTAATCGTTTGGATTTTCTTCGTCACGCGTGACATTTTACGAATGAATGAAAACGTCGTTGCGTTCGACGTTCTTTTCTTTTTTTTTTTTTTTTTTTTTTAATTTTCAATTCAGAGGATTAATCGATGGAATTAACATAGGACACCGATGGTTAATCGTGAAAAAAATACCTAGAATTCAATTCCTCATCATTTGCACGCAAACTGTTATCAGCATTAATTGATTTCCTTCGAGAAATCCGTATGTACGAATTATTCTCCTCAGTCTGCATATTTGTTCTCAAATTTTTCTCGAAACTTAAAAATTATATCCGATGGAACAAAATCATCGAAAGTAATTGCAAATATTTCGGAGAATAAACTTCATTTTCTTCTTTTTTAAAAAAACCTTGAATCTTCCTTCGAGTTGTTACGAAAGATTCTTTCACCATTTCAATTCGGCTCAAAGTGAGCATTTGAAATTAACATAAACCGATGATTAATCACGAGAAACCTAAAAAACGAAACAAAGCAACTTCTCTTCAATCTCGTGAAAAAAATACCTCCACTACTTATTCCATCCATCCCGTCGTTTCGTTTCAATCAATCAGATTTTTCAGACCAATCGTTAGTATTTCCTAGTACTAATCTTTTATACAGGTATATTATATCGACTGGAACACGACCAGTTATTTCGAAGGCAGCGCTTAATTTGCCCCAGACCAGAGAATTATCTAGATTATCCCAACAGAGCGGATTTCGAAGCGTGTGAGGTCAATTCCGCCTGTCTACCGGCCGCGTTAATTTTCCCTCGCGCTGCCAACGTGTCTCTTAACCGCGCTTTTGGCGCTCGCCCAAAAACACACATGGCCGGGAAAGGTGAAAAGGGCGTTTTTCGCGCGTTAAACTTACCCGTTACATTTTAAGAGCGATTTCCCTTCCACGGATTATGCATGAATTATGGATAAATTTCGAGAAGAGGAGGAGGAGAAAAAAAACGCGAAACCTGGATACAAGGAGAGAAGAGGTCGAGGAAAATTGGAACGTCTCTGGTATAAAATCCAAAGTTGGAAAGACGGAGGGAGATGGTTGCAACTCGTCGCAACGGTTGGAAAGGAGCGGCGTTAAACTGTTTAACGTCTTGCCTTAATTTGCCTTCGCCTTCGTGAAATGGATCTTGTCTGAACGGGGATCGAATATCTTATAAATCGCTAAACGATGAAGTCGTCGAACGAAACGGGAAAATAAATTTCTAGTTTTTTTTTTTCGATCGAAACGTTATTTCTTCTTTTTGTTAATTTTTACATTTGCTCGATTGCGCGCGAATATTACGTATATTTGAACACGCGTGAAGATAAATTGAAACGAGAAAAAGGAAATTTGTTCGAGATTTTATTTTTTGAACCGAATTTAAAAGTGATCAATTCTCGAAATGCAAAATTGAAGCGTACGTAGTGTATACGCAAAAGTAAAAAGTAATTACAACGATGTGATCGATGAATTTTTAAATTCGATTTCCACGAAAATTAACCTTTCGAACGAAACAATTTTCCGCTCATTTTCACCAGCAAAATAATCTATAATTCGCTGGTACATTAAAATTACGGTACAACTTCTATCACGCTTGAAAACAGAAAATTTTTTTTTGAAACGAAAAAAATTCTCTCTCTCTTTCTCGGTTTGTGCATTCCCTTATTCTCTTGTTGTACAAACAACAAGAAACAAGAGGAGAGATCCAGGCAGGAACGATCATTTTATTATTTTCCCTCGCACACGTAGCGATCGACAAGCGCGAACAACACGTAGCGAAGCAATAACAAACGTTTATAGGTCGTGCAACGTGGAAACTGGGATTCAGTGCCGCGCAAGTTTTCAATTCATGGTACACAACCGCGAAACAACCGTTCAACTTTACGACTGGAAACTGTTCGAGTTTCATATCGTATCATTTCGAAGGGAAGAACTCGATACCATTGAC